AAATTAAAGGGATAAAATAAACTCTTGAAATTTGTCACTCATATCCTTGAAAGTACAGTTAACAGCGGTGGATGTCTAGCTGCTCTTATTCCCAACGTTGACTCATTTATTACCGTAGCTATAACAACAACGTGTAAAATGCAATAAATATCACATTTTGAGATGAACTTCGAATTTCCATCTAAAAGCACGAAATGATTACTTTCAACCTTTTCTTGAAATAGATAGTTATTACTATTGGCTTCAAACTATAATTTTACTGTCACGAACTGAGTAAGACTGGATATATTAATTAGCAAACCATAACGAAATAAACTAATTATAAAGAAACTCGTTTTATATCAACGACTTTCTTGGTTTTATTTTATTTTCAGTCACTGACCTCAATTCTTGAGGCTCCTAGGCTAGGTTAAGACAACTGAGGAGCCCCTTCTGACTTACAGTAGTTTCTCTACCATAGATGTAACATACAACCACAGTAGTTCAAACTATAGCTAGTGAATGTTTCAAAGAGAACAAAGTAAAGCACATATTTTTATCTGTTATTAACTAGGAAGTATAAACTTTTGAACTACTTCTGGGTACTACAACGGTTCCAACTATTACAAAACTGTATAAAAATAGCCTTCGACAAACACTGAAATTCAATCACATAAATATATTATTTTGGAGGGAAACAAAAGTTTGAAAATTACTCCTCAAATTCTAGATACATTAAACCAGTAATATTCAAGAAGTGAATTAATGAACCTATAAACTATATACATTATATCATAAGGTATGCAATATTCATTATCATGATATATGTTGTGAGTTTTAATCCTTTTACTAAACTAATAACAAGAGATTGCTTTTCCTTGTAGTATGAATATATATGTACATTCATTGTATAAAGCTTTTGTTGTTCTATGTGATTGTATGTTCACTATATTCATCTAGCATGTTTTTGATTTACTTTCTAAAAGCATTTTGATGTATATCATCCTAAATGGTTGATTAAATTTATTTAATTATTTGATATTCAACATGTAGTAGATTTTATCAAACAATTCATATCTTGTTTTTTGTCCTAAAACTTCAGAATGTTTTTTTAAATACTGAAACTAGTTTAGTGTACTGATAATGCAATAATAATCAATTTATTAAATATCATCAACGGCATTACAATTAAACATTCTCAGATTGAAAGTAACAGAGTTGTAATTTAGTCCATTTACTTGTGATTGATCACAGGTTAGCTGCATATTAGCTAGGTATAATTAAACAATATTTATGTGTTTCATCATCTGTGCTCTTAATGATAACATATTTGACGTGTTCATTCTATTAGAAATTATTTTTTCCTTAACTGTAGCAAAAAATGAACAGTAATTTTAGATGTTGACATTATGAGTCAATTGAAGCTAAACCTGAAAATACTAGACAACCGTTTCGTCCTATTGTGAGACATTTTAGCAACCTACATCCACGATCCCGTCTCACAAGATTGGAACCCAAGACTTATTCGTCTTGCGCGCGAGCTTTTAACCTCGAGATTACTGACTCAGTTTCCATTTGTGTTAAAATGAACAGTGAAAATTTTGAAATAATATTTTTTTTCAGAAAAAGCTGAAATATACTGTAAACATTAAATATTTTAAATTTTAAAAACGATCTAAGTAAACTGAACTGGTTAGTGTGACTAAATTAGAAAAAAAAGACATCAGAATTAACAATAAGCCCACTCTTAGTTTCTTTTTAAAACAGTATTTTTCGAACTAAATTAAAAGGTGACAGATTTGAAAATCTAACTAAAAGATTTACACTTCAATGATAACAACAATTTAAGTTTACTACCCAAAAGTTTATTTTTCATTTTGAGGGTTTGATTGACTATAGCAATTAATTGTATGTTGACATAACTATTCATCAGAATATGTTGAATAAATTCATTAGCATTTTTTGATAATCAACGAAACATAACTTGTTAAACTCTTCTATTATATTTCCTTTTTTTTTTCTTCACATCTTTTATACATAACAAATGTTAACTACTTTTTATTTCATGGTTTTCTATCAAGTTATAAACTGTAATTACACTTACTTTATTCCACAATGTTACACATCGTTCATACATTGACCATTAGCATAAATGAAGAATTATTTAAACTAATTTATGTTAAGCAACTGTTTTAAAAAAGTTAATTATATTTTCTATTTTCCATGAATTTCTATCAAACAAGTTCATTTGTATTTCACAGTAGTCAGATAGATTACGTAATTTTTGTTCACAATTTGATAATGTCCAGAATTGTGGGAGAGAACAAAGCAGATTCCAGTGGAGAAAGAAATCAGGAAGAAGTGCTGGAAGTGGATAGGATACAAATTGAGGAAAGCGCTCAACTGCATCACAAGGCAAGCCCTCACATGAAATCCTCAAGGCCAAAGGAGAAGAAGAAGACCAAAGAACACATTACGCCGGGAAACGGAGATAGACATGAGAAAAATGAACAAGAATTAGATGGAACTAGAAAAGAAAGCCCAGTACAGAGTGGGTTTGATAATGCTGGTCGGCGGATTATGCTCTATTGAGAGTAATAGGCCTAAGTAAGTTAGTAATATCCAGAATTATGAGTGTAGTTACAAGATTAATGGCAATAAAAGACATTGTATTGGAAGAAATTCTATTTTAATGAGAAACCTTTGTAAATCTAGTTGAACCATTTTTAAGAAAAATTCATTTTAAGAAAAAGAGAACATTGAGAAGGTAGATAAAACTTGATAAATTTATTTTGGCAATTCTGATCTCATTTCAATTTTAGATTAGTAGTTAAGTATATTGTACAGATTCGAAATCAGCTTCTTCTCTTGTCAGTTTATTTGATCTTATCTATTTCGATAAATGATGATCGATTCGATTATAAATAATTGTTCATAGATTTATTTCTCATGATATTGTCATAGACTTGTCTTGAAAAAATAATGTTATATATTTATTTGTTGATTCCTATGAGGATGGTGAAAAATACAGTGAAACGTTTAGATTATAAAAATCTTGGTGAATTCAAACTAAAACATCTCAGTGACGGTTTTTAGAGAACTGAATGAAAATCTGAATGAATGAATTGTTTCAAGGATATACTGTAGTGAACGAGAACATAAATGGGGACAATCGATTGTATTTGAATACAAATTACAGAATTAGTTAGTAAAATCTGAGAATCATATAGTAAATGATTCATCTGCAAAATGACAATCAATCGTCTCAGACTTCATTGTTCTTTCGTTTCCACACCAGTTATTCACTGTCTTCATTCTCTTTTCTTTGATCTCCTTAACCTTCTGCCTCCAGGCATTTCACTTTCAATTGATGATACATGCTATTTATATCTGTCGACATCAATATCACACACCACAATCCCTGTTGATAATTCCACTCACGAATGAGTAAACTAATACATACAATTTATCATCTTACTGCAAGGCCTGCTCTTACTTCTGAATCAATCTAGACATTATTCTCAACTATATGATATAACTGCAGGTGATCATTAACTAGTTTATTAGTTCTTTGAATTCCATCAGTCACAACATACATTTAGAATAAAGACAGCTATTATAAATTGGTATTAAATTCTAGTTCAGTGATGATTAGAATGAAACTGGTACCAGTAGTGACAGTGACGCTATATTATCGTTCATATGAAATTGGGAATGTATTTCACTGAAATCTAATTTTGTAGGTATTTGCATAGAGCCCGTATGTTAATGAGAAGTTCAACATAGTGAGTAACTACCGTTTTTGTGTTTCTTGATTCTCGATAGTTTTACCACCGATTGTATTTTTTGGTAAAAAGCGTAATTCAACTTCATTAACCACTGAAGTATAACAATATTCCCACTAATTACATATCTTCAATGCATTAAAAATGCAAAATAACGTTTTAGTAAATCTGTTATTTGGTCAGATGGAAAACTGAGGACTTGCTAGTTGTGCTTACACCCCAGTGCTGATGTTAACTCTAGAATTCTAAACTAGTACTCTTCACTTCAAATTTTAACAAGTTATAACGAAGGTACTGAGTTTAGATTGCATTCAGCTTAGCTAAATATATACCATTTTCTGTACAATGCTTTAGGAAATTTCGAATTTAATGGCCCTTATAATTACACATGCAAAGAGATCAAGTGATTGAACAATAATGTAATCAATTGGAGTTGACTCTTCTTGCATTATAAATGTAAACTAATGTTCACTGGAACTGGTAGATAATTATTCATACCTCTAGATTTGTTATTTTTGGGCTTCTGTAATCATTATGTTATAGTTTTTATAAACGATGATAGATCATATGACTTTAGAGGAGATCTCAAGGACAATGTGATATTCAGATTTTTATAAGCTTACTATTTATAAAACAGATGATATTAATCCTTCGACACATGATTTTATTCTAATAAACTTCTGGCGCTTCTTAGATTAGTTTCCTTACATCAACCTGCATCTAGACTTCATGACACTTTTCATTATCAATGGTGGGAACCTTAAAACGAAAGATACTCCATCTCATTCTGAAATATTATCATTGAACTATATAGGTCACGTTTATTTCTGGAACTATAAGTTCAAGCTTAATCCCCGCTAGAATATCATTTGCCTTAAGATTATAAATGCTGGTCAGTAAAAACAACTTGAAATGGACTTAGAATTTACTCCTCAATACCTCTAACCACTTTGCTATTATACAGACATAAAAAGATGAATTTCGTCAATTTATTCTGTAACAAACTGATATAGAAATATGTAGTTGATCAAAGTCTCTACATATTCTAAATAAAGGAAAATTTATATTTTTTAAAAAAATTGAATAATGTAACACAGAAACAATTTTACACGTATCAAGTTGTCATATACATGAATTCAACTAAATTCTATTTCACCAATCATAATAAAGCAGTCATCTGATTGGATAAAATCCCAATCAGATAAATAAATTCAATTTTCAATTTATTAAATTTTCATTTATCATGCAGTTTCACTTAAGAAATTATTCTATTTTAAATTATAATAAACAAAGTCAATTATTTATTTCATGTTTATTATAAATTATAATAAACATATATTAAACTTGTATATTTTCATTTTACATTATATTGGATTTATATTTTATTATGGATCAATTTTATTAATCATTAATATTTTCATCATAAAATTTGATATGATATGTTGTTGGGGTATGAATACATCAATCAATGATATTCATGTTCCAAAATATGTACGAATTAAACTCAAAGAAGAATCACCTTCAGGAACAGTTGTAATAAATATTGGTGAATTTTTAAATTCTGTTCCATTAACTAATTATAACATTTCAAATAATGTTGAACATAATTTAAAAAATAAAATGTTAATTGTACCATCTAGTTTAACATTAGTATCTGAAATTTCATCAGTGACTCGTTTATTTAGATTAAATAAAGAAACTGAAAGTATACATACAGTGATGGCTATTGATAGAGATACATTATGTAGTAAAAATCAGTTATGTTGTTCAAACCCAACAATTAAAAACAGTATAAATGGATATATAGATAATTCTGTTCGAATGCCTATTTCAGGTGGTGGTCAAACATATAAATCATATGACAGTAAAACGGCAGATGTTTGTTTAATACAGTTTCGTGTAATTTTTTCTATGCATTATCATCATGATTTTGTCGGAAATAATCAGATAGATGGATCAACTGAGAAAATGGCATACATTACGGTAGAAATTGAATTATTGGATATTAATGACAACTCACCACAGTTTATTCTCCCTGTTCCTATGCCAAAAACAACTACACTTTTGTATAGTCCAATACCTGTAATTGAAATATCCGTCGAAGAATCAATAGAATTACATACTTGTATACATTTGCCTAAAGCATTAGATTTAGATTCGAGTATTTATGATGTAACTGAGTATCGAATAGAATCTTTAACTCAATCAGATATCTTTCAATTAAAAAACAAACTTTCCCATTCAAATCTTATTGGGATAGATAAAAATGAACTCCCGTTTACATTAGAACACAAGTCGTGCACTGATCCATTAGTCCAGAATTACATTGAAGTAGACATGAATACTCCCGTGCAACAAACAAATGAAGGGTTTGAACTAATTGCAAACAATGAACTGTTCATACCCTCATTAAAAGTAATTGGTCATCTTGATCGAGAAACAACCGAGTATTATTGGATAAAGCTGTTGGCAATCGATGGAATTAAATATTTGGAGACTGACGCTTCCAGTTATCAGGATGTAAACAATAAAAAACCATCAAATGAACATTCTTTTCAAAATACTAAACATACTGGTACCATTTTGATTCGTATTCACATTACAGATATCAATGATAACATTCCTATAGTACCGAGAGCACTGAATCTTGACATTTCAGAGGATGCTAAGGTAGGCACATTATTAGGAACAATTAATGGTACTGATCCAGATCTTGGTGACAATGGTAAATTACACTATCACCTTATGATGGATCAGACAGGGATATCAAACTTTCCATTCGTCATCGATTCACAAACAGGGAGTATAACAGTTAACAGACCGCTAGATGCTGATAGACTACCTCAATCGAATAAGCACTTACGATTTAAAGTACTAACTAGTGATTCCGGTAAACCGACTTCACATTCCTCTTATACAGTGGTTGATGTCCGTATAAATGATGTCAATGATGAAACACCACAGATTAAAGTTATAGATTTAGAGAGCCGTAGTAACCCACCGTATCCTACAGTAATGGAAAATAGACAGCCAGGTCAACTAGTAGCATTCGCTACTGCTACCGATGCAGATTCCGGTCCTAATGGTGCATTGTCATGTCGTATAAATAATCCAAAGTTTAAACTTGAGCAAATAACTCTGTCAAACTCTATTCCAGACATTAACTCAAATAATAACTTCAATTTTTATAGCCTTGAACCTTTGAGCAGTCAATCCTTAAAAGAACCTCTAAATACATTAGATTTTAAAGTAGTCACTTCCACCGAACTTGATCGTGAGCTGAGTACGATAGAAATAATAGAAATTGCATGTACAGACCAACCGTTGAATAGTGCAACAGTACGTACAGGACGAATACAATTTTATGTAAGAGTATTAGACGAAAACGATAACCCCCCTACATTTAATACACATAAATTTCAGTTGGATATTTTAGAAAATACACCACCAGATGAAATTATATTTATTTTCAATGCAACAGATCCAGATTATCAGAATCATTTATCTGGAGGAAATACATATCGAATAAACGAACCTAATTATCATTACATTCATCAGCAACAACAACGTCAAAATTTGTTAAGCATTCAGTCAACGAACAGAATTAAATATGAGATTGATTCAAATGGACAGCAATATTTACGTATTGATCCAGACACTGGTATTTTGTATAGTAAAGTAAAAATTGACAAGAAAATGGTTGATGAAATCAAATTCAATGTGACTGCAATGGATAACGGTCATCCACCTAGAAATGTTACGGCTGAAGTATTTATCAATATTATAGATCAAAATGATCATGCACCAAAATTTGAAAAGCAAATATTCTATTTTAATTTATCGGAAGATTTGCCAGTGAATTCAATCGCAGCTATACTAATTGCACACGACGATGACTTTGGACAAAATGCTGAAATCACATATAAATTAGATGACTTACAAGTAAGTCTGATTTGCTTGTTTGTAAAACTATTTATTCTCATTTCTTTGAATAATATGTAAATTAATATCTCTGCTAGTTAATCTTACACAACATAGAAAATGTTGCTGTTCCATTCAGTGGTAAAATTTGAGGGAATTACTGTGATGAAAAGTAAATAAATCAAATTAATCAATAACAACAGTAAACTAAACACTGTGATCAAAAAGTAAAAGGAAGATGAAGAATGAATACAACTTCAAAGATGGCTCAATCAACATGCCAATGAATACTTAGTGTAGTGTTATAAATAAATGTTGCTCCTATCTTCCATGATTTTGCAAATCACTCTTCATTCGTTTATTATAACACATCAAAATACAAGTTGGTGAACTATATAAAACTTATTATTTCAATAAATTGCGATTTAAACAAGACATTTCTATCTATCTGAATTAATAAGTGGTATGCTATTTGTTTGAAACATTCATTGTCACAATACCCATAAGTTATTAAAACCAATGTTACTACTGTAGAACTGAACTTGGAACACGGGGGAACTAAGGTCATATACGAAGGTAGAAAAATGGAAAATCTGATAGTAGATAATGATTTGACTCACCCTCCGAAACATGATAGATTCTTTAACTAAATACATTCATTTATGAACTTACTTTACTGAAGTTTGATGATTAATTAGTAAATATTCTTGATAACCAAAAATGAACATAAAGATGAGTTAAATCATCAAATGTCTGAAATACATTTTTTCTACTTATCGGGATATAACAAAAAATATATTGAAAACATAAATATATAAATAGTCCATAAATATTACGCTAAATTATAACTCAATTTATATCCTATCCTCACTAATAAGCGCTGTAAACATAAAAGTTAATTTTCGAAATGACTTTCTTTGAAGATTCACTAACTGATTGACAGTACATTATTGTTAATAAATCACTTAGTAAACAACTGACAAGAAAGGATGTAAATTTAATGCTCTTGTTTGTATATACCACACAAAGAACGGATGTTTTGTATTAGGAATATGTAAATGTGATAGATTTTGAACAGCATTATCTAATATGAAAATCTTAGTTTCTTATTCTTCTATTCTTTTAGTTACTACTAAGTTTCAGTTATCGTTGAACTTGATTTTTACGTATTTTATTATAATGGGAATAATATTTTTGCAATAACTTATAAAACAGTGAAGTCGATTTGTAATGTTTCCTCTCTGTTATGTTGGTTACTTCATTAGAAAATAAATATTGATTTTAGTTTAGCAAGAATTAAACTGACAAAATGAATTTACTCATATGAAAGTCAACTAATAGCAACTAAGTTAGGGATGTTAGTTTTACACATATCATCAATTTCTTAAACGTCTAAAAACAATTTTCACTACTGATTGACATAATACAAAATGAGTCAATTTACTTAGAAATTAACTGCTTAATCCTCCGTTTAAATCAAACATTTAATGAGATTTATGAGATTTATAAAATTCCTAAGAATTACAACCAGCACATATTTTTGTCAGCTAGCATTGAAATCATTAGGAAAAGAGTTTATAATACAAAATGGATTGCAGCCTAAACTGTTGCGTGCATTATTGAAAAAATACCTATCGAGTAGAAATGAGCATTTCTTAAATTCTATCCATTACTGCACAAACGTTTCTCGCCAGTGTGATACGTTAATTTGATAATTTAATGATTGAATTCATGAGTCAATAAAAGCTAGACCACCATGAAAAACCTAGAGGCACTAGACGGCCGTTTCGTCATAGTACGTGACTTCTAAGCAGTGCACGCCCGCGACCCCGCATACGAGATTCGAGAGCAAAGCCTTTGGTCTCGCGCGCGAACACTTAACGTTCAGGCCACTGAGCTGGTATCCGACGATGTTAATGTCTAATTTCAACTAATGCACGAAATTGTGCTATTGTCCAACTTTGACTTCAGTGGGTTACTATCTCACAACAGACCCGCTTGAACACTGGTCACTGCTTTACACTAGAAATACCTCTTGAAGCCAGTACCTAGTGAGCACAAAGCTACAAAAACTCTTTCTGATAATTAACAGTAATCGCAGTACAAATCCGCTTTGTAACAACTCGTTAGTTTGATGGAACTGACATATTTAATTTCGTATTTAAATCATTTGAAATTTCTGAGTTTACATTGAAAATATAATTAAATTAACGAATATGACCGTTAAACATTCAGGTCACTAAATAATACGGTATTTTTACTCTCATAAAAGCTGTTTATTTTCGCCAAAGATTTACCAGTGAAATGTAATAAGGCATTGAGTATGTTGAATGATAGACCATTTATTTAAATATTTACATGTTTGATGTATATCATTTAATGTTTATTACTTAAAGGCCCCAGTTTTTAACTGAAAGTTCACAAATACATGAAATAAAGACATTTCTGTGTATTTAATTTGAACGAAAAGCTCATTTGAAATTACCTTATGGTATGTTGTGCTTTAGAAAGATAATAGGTCAGTCATTATACCATTGAAAAAAATTTGTATTTGTATTCAAACATTGAAAATATTCACATGAATTCAATTGATAGTTCTTATTGTTATAAACGATGTGTTATTTGCTGAGCTTTTTAAATCAGTATTTCTTAAATAATAGTTAAGAGTAGTTTATTTTATTAACACACATATTAAATCGTTCACCGAAAATTCAAGTTTCAAACGTTTATGTATATATATTATTATTTATTTATTTTAACACATAGATATTGATACAAGGAGGCACCAAATACATATACACCACACAGATTTCATTTGATCTGTGTGAGGGCTGTGATGCTGCCCGGGTGCCCAAACCGAAGCAGGTGGTTTTCTTAGGGAGCCACACCTGGAGCCTTCGACCTGAAGGTCCGATCCACAAGGCAGTGGAGCATCGTAAGATGATGCAGCCCTATGGTAGTCGGTGACCAACGATTGGTTCATACTACATTTGTTCCCTCAGGATACTGAAATCCATGTGCACCATTGTTTTGGAATCTAGGTTTTCCAACTCTCCTAGGTGAACTCTCCATGTCCACCAACTTGATTAAAGCGCCTAACATTCACGTTTCCTCCTCTCAATTTCGTAAACAACATAAATGCCGCGAGAAGGCAATTAGTAGGACTTCTTTAGCAGTGGTTGTATGAACGTGGCCATGTGAGAGCATTTCGATAGGTTGAGCTGACTCTCCCCACTCTTTTGGGGCATTGAATAATTAGATAATAACGATGTATGACATTAATTTTCTCCAAAGACTTTAGAAAACTTTATGAAATAAACATGTAAGGAAAGTAGAATCTAGTCAGTTTGCTTTAGCAACGATTTCATCCCAATAACGATCTGTTGAAAGGGATTTAATTCAAGTACCTAGAATATCATATATATATAATATGAACTACTTTATACCATACGCCTATAAGCCGATGAATAGATTTATATATTTTTGCTTTTGTGTATAAGACAAGAATAAAGTGGCAACTTATGTAGCTTTAGTGATAATCTGATTTTCATAAACTGCCGTCAATATAATATATCAAATGAAAAAAACAGTTCTTATGAACTATGTAAACAATCCATACAAAGGTCTATCGATTCCTGGGTTACTTCACGTTTATTATTTTGAAAGAAAACTTAGTAATGTCTTAAAAGCGGATATTTTGTAATTTGAATAGATCTAACAATTATATGTAACATATATAGTGTAAAATTTAATACAAATATAATGAAACAACCGAAGAACTAATTTTTAGTCTAAAGGTTATTCATTAAATGGATAAATTGTAAATATTTTATAGATGTTCATCAAGATTTGTGTATTTATGCTGTTCATATAATGATCTCTATCTATCAGTTGGAATCCTTAGTATCAACAGTAAAATGATACATACCTTAGTTGACACCTTCCTTCACACTAAGCTTATTAATAGTTATCTGAACTCATCAGTTTGGTGCACAATAGATTGACGTTTAAAGCTATGATAATTATTGTATAATACAGAAATATCTTGTTGATGAGTTCAAAATGGAATGAAACCTGAATCATGCATTCTGTTAGTGATCATAATCCAAATATACTGTGTTTTATTAACACGTTACAATGTTGTAGAAGTACTTTGTCAAGTATAATTGTAAACATGGTGCAATTATTTTTATGATATTGAATTCACTGCAGCACAAGTACTAAACTATAAAATATCCATTGAATGTCAATAAACATATTTTGAATAAAGAATAGCAAATACGTTATAGAAGGGTAGAAGAAATGTGGTATTTGCACGAATAATGAATATTATCTTCATTTCATTCTTATCATTATCCCTCGTAACTTTATTTCAATGATCTAAAAGAATAAACATTTTTAATGGGTTAAGTTAGAATTGTGTGTAAAATGAAATTAATGTGCTAGAACGCATTATGAATTGAATAATAAGATCAAATATTGGTTGGTGATTACTAATTACATAATATGAAATGAAATAACTGTAAATATAATGATGTTTGCTGATGAAATTATCTAACAGTATGCAACGAAGCCGTTGCTAACAATCAAAATAAATGACTGAATCAAGTTATAAATATCCACAGTGACCAACAAAATAAATTATATAACAGTTATAAACGGGTTCTTTAGCTTTAAGTATAACCAATTTAAAAATGGGGCTAAATATATATCTTTAGGATAGGAATTTTTTAAACGATTGAACCTAACGATTTTTTAACAGCTAAATAATTGGTTACATCTTCTTATTAATAAAGCTCACATACAACAAATATTCAGGTCACTTTGGGAAATAATTGCTCAAATTGTATGATCACATTTTGAATAACAAAATTATAATCATATAATCAAAACTTATCTGTGAGAAAGTATTTTTAGTGAGACTATAATTTATGGGTGACCTTTGAATGACATTGAAGTGACTTTGAGAGTGTCCACCTAGTAACTAAGATCAAATGAGGATTACGAAACAATGTGGAGGA